GAAATAGGTCTGATAAGTGGTAATAATTCTTAGAAGGCACATAATATAATACATTATCGTGTAATATCGTCGATATGCAAGCACCAATCGATAGCTCCTTAAAAATATACTACGAAAAAGCTTCAGTTCCAAAATACAGTCCGGAAAAATGGAAATTAATTTTTTCTTGCACAAAAATGTTCTTTCGGTGTAGTTTACCTCGTTTACAACATTTTTTTGCCCAAGAAAATCTGGACAAATTGTGGCTTGCTCGCGACATCTGTAATTAGGACAAAATTGTTGCGTCGATTTCCATTTAATTCCATTGTAGCTCTTTCATGGCCACTATTTCTTAAGGTGAAATATTTTAATGAGGAAACTCTCAACTTTTCGTTTTTTTAGATATGGTAAAGTATGGAAAGTACTACTATAAGTTTTATTAAGAGTTTTATTAGGCTCATCGTAAGTTTTAGGCTTAAGTTAGACGTAGCTTACGCTTACTGTTAGTTCGGTTTAGCTTAGGCTTCGTTTAGGCTTAGCTTAGGCTTAGCTTAGGGTTAAACTTAGGCTTAGGTTAATCTTAGGCTTAACTTAAGTTTAGGCTTAGGCTTAGATAAAGTTTAGGCTTAGGCTTAAGCTAATTTTAGGCTCAAGTTAAGCTTAGGCTTAGGTTTAGGCCAGGGCTTAGGCTTAGACTTAGGCTTATGACTAGGCTTAGGCTTGGGCTTAGTCTTAGGCTTAGGCTTAGCCTTATAGTACATCCCAATCACCCAATATCAAAACAACCCGATGACGAATACCGTATGTGCCGCTAACAATAGCCCAAAAGTTCCGGTATCTAATCCGAGAGATGCCTGAAATTCAAGTCAGAAAAAGTCAAAAACAACCTCCCCACCCGGGCAAACCTTGATCCACCCACAAAATCCACCCAATTATCCATTCATCCTCCTTCATTCTCCCCTCGCCTCCAACTTCACATCCAAATATCCCTCATCCCAAAAAGCAGCCCACAAATAACCATCCTCGGGGGTTAAGCGGATGGCATGCGATCCGCGGGCTTATTTTTCCGCCCTGGGTATTGGCTGGCTGCATTAAGCTCCCCCGATTTTCGCCCACAAATCGGGTGGCGTGTGGCTGTAGCTCTCCTCTTTTGGCTTCTTTCTCATTGTGTAAGAGTGGGATGGGACCGGTCGGGTTACGGTAGCCAATCCAGCCCCCACGGGCCTCCACGGGTCGGGGCCCGGGATTGGCTGACAATTGGGCAATGATAATGACGATTGTCCGGCACTCTAGCTCCTGCGTCGAAGATGTATTTACAGGGATCATCAGGAAGGGGGTTGGGCATTTGGGATTATTTTTTCTAGGGTTGGAGTTGCAGATCGTACTTATCTTCGTTTGACGGGTTGGCTATGGAGGTTTTGTCTGTTCGCTGCAAGGCTTAGGCTTGGCCTAAGCTTAGGCTTAGGCTTAGGCTTGGCCTAAGCTTAGGCTTAGGCTTAGGCTTACAAGGAGTCGCTTTTAGGTGCTTTTGGAGTTTCGGGACGGGACCTAGCTAGTTCGATAGAGAAAAAAATTCTGAGCAACATACCATTTTCAAAAAGTGCTGATCGATAAAGATGTTTTAGAAAATTTAATTTAATTAAAAATGTTCCCGGTATCGGCACCCTTGTGGTGATTTGAGGTGATTTGCGGCGGTCGACCGCCCCTGCCACATGGGGACTTCACGCGCCATGGATCCGTCCAAGGCATGGCCAAGTGGCTAGTGCGTTGGCCTACGAAGTTTTTTTTACCTTTTGCGACAAGTTCGATTCTTATTTATCGTTAACTCTTTGCTTTTTTGCTAATTAAAATTTTATGCACCGATAACGGGTTCAAGAAACAAAAAGCAACGGATTAGCCAGCGCGAAGATTCGAACCCGAGGCAAAAAAATGTTAAAAAGTTGGTAAGCAAGCGCGCTACCAATACGCCAATGCAACTTGTGATGAGCGCCTTGGCGGAGGGTTATGAATGTTGCCCGGCCAAGCCCCGACAACGACGCGAACCGAGGAAATGGACCCGAAAACTAGAAAAAATCGCGAACTTTAAATTAAATTTTCTAGAATTCCTTTATCGATCAGCACTTTTTGAAAATGGTATGGTGTTCAGAATTTTTTTCTCTATCGAACTAGCTAGGTCCCGTCCCGAAACTCCAAAAGCACCTAAAAGCGACTCCTTGTTAGTCACATCCGCGCCTGCTTGACAGCCAAGCGGCGTACGCGTCGCATCTCGCGGTCTCGACAAGATAATGCTGCAAAAAATGTTCAAACTATTTTTTCTAACTTTCTAGCAATCGAAAACTACTAAAAACGTGTAAAATACACTATTTATAATTAACGGTATGGAGCGCCACAAAAATTTTTCTCCCTGCCAACCCCCCGTTACCAATCCAGTACCCTCGACAAAATCCATAGAATGCCATGCCTTGCTCGTCCCTTGAATTAAGGCGACTACCGGGTGGTTGAAAGAGCCCCAGAAGGCACCACATCAACAGTTTGTTATCGCCATGCTTTCGGCATTTTACTATTTTTCGACGCCATTCACTAGAGCACCAAAAAAAATACAAGAAAACATTTTTATTTTTAATCTAAATAATATAAAAACGTTGAAAGCAATCCTAGTGGCATGCATTTCATGTGTTGCGGGCCCGGCAAAATACCGAATCTCCAGCATAGGATTCTATTCGGACCTTGCCAACTCCTTTAAAGTAACCGGAAACATGGTTGGCTCTGGTTGCTCTAAAAAACTTTCCACGACCTAAACTAAGCTTAACGTCCAAGCTAAGCCCAAACCCAAGCGTAAGCAGTACGCAACGCCACACTCTAAACCCAAACCGTCAAAACAACCCTAATTGCACCTTCCCCATCTCTTTAACCAAACTACAAAAGTGTCTAGACCCTGTAGTCCGGGAGTTTTTGCACCCTGTTCAACGCAGAATATCAAGAGCTGCTCTAACTAGCCATTGGGGGGTGTCCATGGTCACCACAAACAGTTCCGAGTCAACTACATGGCCACCCGGAGAAGGGAAGGGACAGGGGAAAGGGAAGAAACGCTGGGGGAAATAATATGTGACCCCCGCCTGGCCGTGTTATTTAATTTGCACCCAGTCGGAGCCGTCAGTCGGTGCACCACAAAAACAGAAGTCGACCAGCCATTGCCGTTTTACTGGGGTAATTTTTGGAGCGGGGTATGTTTCAAGATTGGCATACTGTACTTTATCAAATTTGGGGGGTTTATTGCCTGGATTAGCCCTTTCAATCGATTACTAAAAATAATTCTGAAAAGTTATACCTTAAAGGAGTGTCCGAGGTAGATCAAAATTGCGGTACTACCCTGTTAGCCAGGGGAGGAGTTTTAGCAGGGAGAACCCCATTTTCCCCGTAGTGTTTTCTATGGTGTTTTAGATATGAAAAAGTCCTGGTATAATTATAAAAATTGTTTCAATTTCTTCAAATATTTTTTATAAGTTTCTAGCGATCAAAAACTACGAAAAATACTCTAAAAAGACATTATAAATTATCAACAGATAGGTAGAGGCGGAAGACAAAAATTTGTGTCCCTCTGCTAAAAGTCCCCCCCGCTAACAGTCCAGCACCAAAATTTGCTGATTGATCTTCTTTTGGCCACAAACAATTTTTTATTTCATTATTTTCAGCTAAAATTGAAAATTCTATGGTATGTTTCTAATGCTGTATCGAATGGCGTTCAAAACTTTGTAGAACAATCGCAAATATTGGACAAATTTGATTGAAAAAAATCAATGCATGGCACTGCAGTTGAACCCAAATTCGGGATGGCAGAAACTACAGTACCATGCATTGATTTTTGGATCTTTATTGCGGCCGAAGAATTAGACGGTTTAAAGATTTTTTTACGGGTTTTTCAGACAAAAATTGGAGTTTTTATGTAAACAAACCAAACCACGATCTATTCTTTTGCTCGTAGACACTTCCCGTTTTCATTTTGCTTCCTTCCCCACCTCAATTATGCGTCTATTGGATGGACACAGTCTATCACTCTGTTGTTTGTCAAGCGATCTCCGATTAGCCAGAACGTCTGACTTTCGAACCCCCCTGGAAAAGGGGTGGGCTGTGAAAGGGGGGAGCGGGCTACGGTAGCCATCGGGAATGGCCACACCCCTTCCGCCTTCCTTCTCCTCCTACTTGGCCTCCTTTTAACAAGCGACATTACCGTCCGACGGCAACCAGTCCAGCTGCTTTATTGAGCACCAAGATTTGAGCTAGCAGAACATTTCATTAATCTTTGGCTAGCTTACGGTTTTGTACCTGAATTTGCCTGAATTAAGCCATGAAATAAAGCATAGCAGCTAAAAGGGGGCGGGGGCGCGTCTTTCTAGTTAACCGACGGGCTTTTTTCTAGTTATTCCTTAGAGAGACAATGAAACTAGGAACCATGCTATGTGGCTTATTTTTACAAAATCACTATCCACGATTTTGAAAAGTTAAAAAACTAAAGGCGGCCTAGTAGGGCTCGGAAACACGAATTAATAAACGCATAACAATCCAATTTTTCTAAAACGGGATATTGATTTTACGAACGAAGCTCTTAAAATTCAATTTTCTATCCAATGAGCTGAAAGATCTCCGGGAAAAGTATTAGCTGACAGCATAAATAGCTGCTGAGCTCCAGATGGCCCTCCGAGACGATTTGAACCTACTGTATATCAGCTCCCCTGACTTTTACGGGGCTGTAAGGTATACGAAGATACTCGTCAGGCCAAGGCGAACGTTTCGGTATTCTTTCCACCCAGGTAGCACAACGGGGAGCCATGGTACAAAAGTTGGCCGGCTGGCGGAGGTCACCTAAATGACAGCTAAACCAATAGCATAAGTCAATTAAATATTACCTTAAAACCCAGGCTTTTATAAGCCCCTTTTCTATACCACCCTGAATTATTACCAAGTCAACTGAAAATTACTTTACCAACTTTATTCCAGAAACCGGCATAATATCCTATTGTCTGATGCTCCAAAACGGCCTCCCCGAATCGTTCTCAACCTTTGAACTCCCGAAAATGTTTAAAGGTAACCTAATAATCGTATCACGAATATCTGGTTAGCTGCAGAAGTCAACCGCCATTGTCTGATGTGCAAACAGCATGGAATCATTGTCAAGACCAAGGGCCATGTATGCGCCCATAAAAAATGCGACTGCACGGCGGTAAGTGGGTTTAAACGTTTTCTAAAAATTTTAAAAAATAAGGGGTAAGAATAAAATAAAAATATTGATATTGTTTTAGTGCGCAGCCATCCGGAATCGACGCCAGATCATGAGCATGCAAATCAAACTCCGGCGACATCAGGATAAACTCTATCGGGCAAATACAATTCCGATAGGTGCCGAGGTAAAAATTTCAAGAACTACTGGATAGCATTATGTAATTCGTATACCAAGTAATTTGCTTATTCTAGAGGCAGGAAGTTCCTTATGGTGTTGTCTACACCTGCCAACGGTGTAAGAATCATGGGCTGATTCGAATGCGAAAGGTAAGTGTATTGCGCAAAAAAGAGCAATAAACTTCGATACCGAAGCTAAGCAAAACTAAAATACTGAATCAATATAAAAGACAATAGGAAATTTCAGTATCACAGCCGGGAATGCCTCTATGCGAATTGCGTGTGCGAGATGTGCGTGCTCGTTCGGAAAAGCACGAAAATCGAGGGACATCACAAGAAGCTCTCCACTAGGATGTCTGAGCCAGCTTTGCTTCACAAGGTAAATTTACAGTATTCTAAATCACACACTTTTTTGAAAAAGTCTTTCTGACTCAAAAGGGATTACCATCGATTTCGGAATCAATGCAATAGAAAAACTTTCAGGATCCTCAACCTGTCAAGTCCCGGACAAAAAGTCTAGAAGGTGATGATGGAGAACAAGCGGAAGTCATGGCTTCGATACCACGAAATAACGGCCCCTTTTCGACAATAGCTGCCAACCTTCTCTCAAAAATCAAAATTGACGCCGACTACACTCCCAAAGCCGACCCCTCGTTTTTCCAGTTCCCCAGTTTACCCATAATTACAAATAGTGGTGGTTGTTCTCCCTGCTCATCATCTCCATCCCCACTGGACCCCACAAAAATTCTTCCGCACTTCGGGAACCTGAGTTTCATTGCTTCTGAACCTTTACTGTTTCCGTTCCTCAATTGGCCCACTATTCCTGATCTAACTTCATTATTTTCTCAAAACCCCACATTAACTTATGTTTAATTTCTCGCAGGGTCTGTTTAAAACGACCCGACAATGATAAATATCAAAAGGACAGACCGGTCCCGTCATTGCGCTATTTTGGGTGGATTAACGGGTAGCCGGATTGCGCGGGTGGGACCTAGCCATAAGCAGTTTGCACGGAATATGGCCACTCTCTGCAGAAATCAAATCTCTGGATACCTCCTAGAAAGAGAATAGCGCCACGGCCAATAAATTCAAGTCAGCAGATATACAAAAATATTAGTATATGTATAAGCGCAACTATGAAAACGTGCCAATAAGCGCTTTATTATTCACAACGTCCAAATGTTCAGATATTGCACAACAAATCAACGACCTGCCAACGTTCTCTCCAAGTGCAAATTTTGTTCGGCTCTCATGATCGGAGCACAGACAGAACGCCACGTGTCCTCCCAGGTATCAAATTCGTCATCGGCTAACTTCGTCCGAAGTAGGTGAAGATCCTAAAAAAACGTAAGTGTCCACATCTTCTAACGATACCGAGTTTGCTGACGGAAATCCTGTAGTCAATGTCTGCAGTAGATGACTTAACTCGGCGGCTGTGTCGAAAATACGCCCGTTCTCCCGCTCAACAACTAAAAAAATTCTTCTAGAAGGGAAAATAACGTTGTTACCGAGCTCCCGAATACAGTGGTAGTTTTTTGCCAATACCGGAATACCAGCGCCGAGCATATCAACAACTTTCATCGGCAGATCGAGGCCTATAAAAAGTCATATGCATGAAAAGTTGCGTTACCGGAAGTGCTAGTGTGAAGACAAACACCCAAGTCAGAAGCCGCCAACAACCGCGGGTAATCTACCGCTTCAAGCCATGGCGTAATTATCCTCACATGGCTCAGTTGGAGACCTGAAAGCAAAATAAAACTGTCTCAACAACCAGAAACCAACGTGATATCTTCTCCAGATAAAATTGTTTTTGTTCTCCACGCCCCGTAACCACACAAATAACATCAGGCGCATCCGGGATACTAAAACGAAAGCTGAATCACAAAATAAGGGAATACCTGGCCCTCGCGCGGTCATAGCGACAAAGCGCATCCAGTAAAATTCCAAAGTCTTCGTCGGGAGTCCAGCTGGTCGAAGAAATCAGCAGCAAGCAGCGATCATCGCGCAGATGGACAGCTCCTTCTGTGTCCTTATAGGTAAAAGCCGTATCTAAACAAAAATATTTGCATTAATTGATGTACGAACATTCCGTCGCAGCTTCGCGCGAATCGGTGCCTTTGAAACACTCGATGCCATCCTCATGTGCCAGGCGATAAAACAAAGCGTGATGATCTGACAACGTCCATTTCCTAGAAATAAGTTTAAAAACAAAGCTTTCAATAAACATACTGAAATTTAAAAGCGGGTGGGCGATCGTAAAACACGGAGGAGAGCACGTTCCAATTTTCCCGCATATCTGCCCTCATTGCCTTCGAAACACATATTGACCCGGTGCAGCGACGCCCAAAGAATCCTTCATACCGATAGACCATCTCCACAAAGCTAGAAATATTCAGTATTGTATAAAAACACAGAACGAACAATTTCCGAAGGTTCCATGCCGGTTTCTTTTCGGCCCTGGCAGCTCGCTTTTTCTCGCGCAAGGCCGCCTCACGTTCCTCGCGGGTTTGGCGCTTCTTGGCAACTTCCTGCTGTGCTTCGGTTGCTGCCGTCCGCGATTTCCTAGAAAGAACCGATTGACTGAGTACTCCGATCACAAAGCATACTTGGAAAAATCCATCTCAAGGTTCCATTTATGCTGAAGCATCTTGTAAGTGTAGTTATGCCAGTCAATGATCCAGTTTGCGCGCTTCAAATGGGAAATCTAAAAAATCAGGAGCTTGATTGATTAAAGAAGACTTACGATCCAACAAATAAACATAGTCGGCAGTCCAGGAGGATTTTGCAATAGGATCAAATGGACTAGGAAGGGTACCCTAACGACAATTAGAACTGCTAGCGTCTTACCGAAATAACATAGCCGTGAAGAGGAAGAAATTCGTCCATAGCAACTTGAAAACGAGGGCCACAGGATCCGGAACAAAACGCGGCAAGTCCGGTGGTGGTCTGACGGGCACGATCCTAAATCACATTTTAAAGGGATGCCGACGGCATAGTCAATCGATTACGCGCGGAAAAGAAAATGCCTCTGCGCCTCTCCCCTGTTGGCTACTTGCCAATTTGTTGATGAGGGGGGATCGACACATGCCGTCGGCAGCCCTTTAAAAGACTGGAAGTTTCAAACCTTATATTGGGATTCAGTGCGATTGCTGGATGTGGCGTCGTGTCATTGTATCCGAGAAGGAAAACACTAAACCAAATGTCTATCAGAATTAGAAAGTTACTTGTAATTAAGTTCGGTTGTAAGGGATAGCGCATGATTGCACATTCGTGGGCTGCGCCCTACATCGCCGAGGACTACAACCAGAGCGTTTGGTCGAACATCCCGTTCTTCGTCCCAGTCTTCCGTGGTCGACCGACTCATGCGGTTTTCACCTAAAAAATTAGATACAATGGCAGTCGCAGGGATTCAACCATCTTTCGCGATAGTTTTAGATTTCGGTAGGGCAACCATTTTCTGCCCGGGTATGATCAGAGGCCTACTGAAACTTTCCACAAATGCCGTTTACTAAAACAATATTTATCTTGCAAAAATAGAAAGTCTCAGATCGTATCACAGCGGAGCAAGATTCTAAACCCAGCAAAGAACGGGACAAAAAAAAATCGAACAAATGGCAATTCTAAACTCAGCAAATTTTCAATTAGAGTGTAGGCTCGAATAGACGGTTATCCAGGAGACCATGAATGTAGCAAACGCCGCTCCAAATCCTTCCTTCGCAATTTCCCAGAAGCCGCCGAGGTAGTCTTCATCAAGCTAAAAAGTGAGAGTTAGTAAGAAGCCTCTCCACACTCCATATATGATATGTTAGCGTTTCAGCACCGCAAACCCGGCGTATGTTCCAAAAAAAACCGACCTTCTGGTATTTTATGACGAACTGATGAGCCAATACCGTCGAAATCGCGACGTATCCGCCCAACGCGAAGATTCCATGCATCGGTACTACGCCGAACACGATCCCGATTAAAAGCGCAAGGACTTGTCTAAATAAAATTAGAACCATCTTCTTAAGAAATGTACCTCCCCCAATAGAGAACATCCAAAATTTCGTCCTTGTCACTCCAGTCGCTGCCACTTGTTAAAGCCTTGCTCAACTAAAAATCATGTTAGTGGCGGGCGTTAAGCAAACCGTCTGCGTCCATCCGCTCTGTGACTGTGACGTCGTGCTAGTCGGTCTCGACGACATTTCGCCTGAAAACTTGAATGTACAGCGGGAGGTGAAGATTTAAAGGACAGCGGACATGAAGAAGATTTTGGAAGCGGAGGAGACCGGGTGTATTTTAGAAAAATTTTCGCAAACATCGATAAAATTTTTTCAATTCGGACGCCGTTACAGAAAAAACAAACGCTTTTTGGCGATCACCATTTCCATTACCGATGCCAAAAGCCGTAGAAAACCCAGTTCCCTAACGTCGCGTTTTGTCCATTCGTGCAGTGGAATGCCGCGTCGTGCTTCAGGAAACGTTGGTAAATAAGGTAAATAAATAAATTAAAGTGAATACAGATTGACATAATGTGAATAAATACAAAAGGGGATGAGTTAACCAAAGCTGGGACGGCATTCTACGTCCAAACCGAGCGCTGTGAATTTGTCAATTTGGCGCTATTTGTCAATTTTGTGTATTTGAAAGATCTCAGAAATCGGGGAAGCGTTTGAAGATGGAAGTTCCATCGAGGGATTATACTAAAATCTAAATATCGAAAGCTGTTTTAAAGGATACATATATCATGGGTTATTAGGCTCCTATGCCATCGTCCCGCCGAACCAATTAGTCTCTCACGCATGATCTCATCCAAATCAGGTTACTGACCCCGTCGCCACATTATCGGACCCACCTGCCCCTACTAGGGTCAGGCGCAATTGCCCCCCTGATGGCCATTCAGCATTATGTCACCGTTTGCATTTGGCAACTCCTTCTCGAAACTCTTACTAGCCGTGCGGGGTTTTTTGCGAACGCTTTCGGACTTGAATTGTGATTACAACCACAAAATACCTACAAAACACCTTCCGTTTTGTTAACTATGCCATGTCATTACATAGAGATGCATCGGATACAGTCCAGCAAGCGAAAGTTCCTCTCGCCATTCGCCCTTCGTCAGCCTTTCATTTCCTCCCCATTCAGCGCATATCTCCCGATCGCTGGCCTCCTCTATGCACTCCGGCCTCCCCGCCAAATATTCATTTTCAGAACGAACACATTTGATTTCAGTATGCCCCGACATTTCCGGCCACTTTATTGTGGGAATCAACTTCCTAATGTCCTTTTGTTTTTTAGAGTCGTGTATTCCGTTTTAATTTAAAATTTTGGGCTAGAAAACCATTATTCAACCCTAGTTTTACCTATTAACGGAAAATTACAAGAGGAATTACACGTTTCGCGGGAGTTCCGGGAGTGTTTGAGTCAAAGATTGGGGAAATGGCTGAAACTTGCCACTGAGGGACCTATGGGAGTTTGGCGAAAAAAGGGAAGAAAAGAGCTGGCCTCGGACATGGCATCGATCCGGCCGTTCCCTTCACTCCGTCAGTCGCCCACTCTCTCGGTCCGATTTGTCTTTTTTCCGTAAAGGGCTTCGGATTAACCGTGGCGCTCTTTTCCCACGAAACCTGTTGCCGCCATCACCAAATTGACGTGCATCATCAACCTAATGCCAATAAATCCCGGGCTTTGTTTTGTAAGAATCGCGGAATCGCGACGTGTAAAAGCGTAGATTAAAGGGCACGTTCAGGGACGTTTTTTAGGAAAAAGCAAAGGTTTTTGCCGCGGCCGGGGGTCGAACCCGGGCCCCCCGCTCGGGAGGCGCGGATGGATACCAGTCAGCCAAAGCTACAACCTGGCGAGGGGGCGAGGGGCGCCCCACTCCGCACAGGAGGGGAATGGCCTGTCACAGCACGGGCAGGCCGTGCGCGCGGTCCCTACGTCCATAGGGTGTATACGTTGGACAGAGTATACGGCCCCTCCCTGAACGTGCGCTTTAACTGGTAGAGTTTGATACTTTCTAAGTATCTGGGGCCTAGGCGATGGACTTTCCAACCTTGAAATTCCCCCACAGTTCCCGATGGTCATTTTTCCTGTGAAAAGATCGATGGCAAACAGTTGTTGTTCTCCCAGTATCGCTTCTTCCTTCTTGCCTTTCCCACGAGGCCAGGGTGTGTTGGTCTATCTTTGAGAGTACGAACTCCTCGATCTGTTGCAAGGTGTACAACCTGAAAAAAATCTCAAATGATTCCATCCGTTTGCAGAGATTAAGCCACTTCCGGCCATTTTCAAAATACGCTGCGTTCTCCTAATTTGTTTATCCATATTTATATTTCTAGATTTATTTGAAATTATTTCAAAGCCCGAATTTCAGGTGAATGCTGGATTTATCAAGCTGCGCCGTTTGCCGCCTCACGACAACGGCAAGTGGAGGCCCACTGCTGGTGTGTACGTCTTGCATCTCGGCCGTCTACTGCTCACCGGATCATCAGGTGACAGTTTGAGTTTTTGGAAAGTTTGTGGTGGTTTTGAAGCTATAATATTTGCAAGGATTAGGAGCGGTACTGGAGTGTTAGCGGGGGGCCGGCGGAAACGAATTTTTCACAATAATCCTGTACGGACCTATAACAAAATATATACCATTTTGATAGGAATTTCCACTGTTTTTAGCTGTGAAAAGCTCTGAAAAACCTATAAATTTTGACCTTTTGGATCACAAAGTTATGAAAAATGACCACAAAGCGATCAAAATTTTCGGATTTTCAAAATATTTTTTTTGTAACGTTCTACCGATCAAAAATATTAAAACATAAAAATAAACTATTTACTATTAACAGGTAGGAAAGAACAAACAGGAAAAACAAAAATTAGTTTCCCCCTGCTAAAATCCCCCACCTCCGCTATCGGCCCAGTACCTTCGTAGCGACGAGCTACAACTTTCTTTCCCAGTCATGACGCTAAAAATAGAAATTCCGTTTCTTGATGCGCAAAATTATAAAAATAGTGACAACGTTGCAAGGCCCCCTGCGCCGCGACCAGCCAATTGTCCAAAGGCCCGATTTGTCAAGGTGCTCCCCGTCCATTTAGAGTGGGCCCAGCCTTTTTGTCCCACAAGCCAAAGATCGGCTGTCCCCTTCGGAATGACGCGACGCTTAGTGGCGCTGTAGTGGCTCTATTTTTGCAGGAGACACGCTGCAAAAGCTTCCCTTTCCCCCCACGAATCAACCACTTCACCCCCACCCGCATTCTTGTCTTCTTCTCCTCGTTCACCTCCCCCGCCTCCTCCAACCCCAAACAGCGCCCTCTAGCGCTAGCTACCCGGAAGTAATTGGTTTAGGTCTTTTTTTGAAGCGGTTTTGTCGGATCGGATACATCTAATACACTATAAAACGCTAAAAGATATTGGACTGTTAGCAGGGGGAAACCAAATTGTTTTTTTTTGCGAATTTTATAGGTTTTTATGAGTGTGTATGTCTAAAAATGTGTAAAATCCTATAAAAATGGTCTAGATTTTGTTATAGAACCGTACAGGATTACTGGGAAAAGTTAGTCTCCCCTCCCCCTGCTAACAGTTCAGTACCAAATCTATTTCCGGATATGGATTAGAGGTTGGACACCCCCCGGCTAAAGCTTTAGTACCAAAACTTTTAGTCGAAAAGGTTCTTGAAAGGCAATCCCAGGGAGCCAATGGTTTCTGGCAGACTCGCACTCCACCGCCGCTCCTCCCCTTCCATGTTTTGAACGTTTTTGCAAAAGTCACGACAAGCGGGCGGCAGCGCCATGGGGTTGTGCCAGAGATCCGTGAGTCTGGGTGTCGGAGTCTCGCCATCGACGGGAACGTGTCTCTCCATTTTCTGCCCGCCTGTGCTCTCCACGTTTTATCGGGGGCTGTCTCATTCTCCTCCCATGTCGGTCTCGCATCTCTGCCCCTCTCTACCCGCACGTAGGCCCATGCTTCGGCACGTACTCCCCTCCTCCTCTTCACCAACCGATGGCCTTGGCTGCCCGAAAAGGAGAGCCACATACACACATATGCGATCCATAATTCCTCCACTTTTCCGTCGCTCTTTTCCATAGCTGTCTGCAAATTTTTCCCACGTTATAAAAATTGGCACCGGCCGCCTGATGGGGCGTGAGCTGCGTGAGCAATATTTTTTCTTTTCTAACGGTTTATTGAAGGGAGCGGCATATTTGCGTCCGTCCGAAAGGTGGTTTTGCTGAATAACACTGTAGTTTGCTGCCAAATTCCTCGATCTATTTTGGACTACATGACTAGACGTGGTGTTGTGTTTACTGGAATTTTGCTGTTTTTGGCCGCCAACTTGTGCGCAGCGCCCATAGCTTTTGCAAAATTTTCAATTAAAAGAACGCAACTATCCGTAATTCCGTTATTTGGACGGCTTAGTATTGTTTCGTACAAATTTTGTAAACAAAAAAACGGCGTAAATTCGATTGAAAACTATTTTAGTCGAAGATTTCTATTGGCTGTTTTTTGCAGAAAAAATTCCGTCAGTTTTTCTTTTTTAGTTTTTTTAAAGGTTTTTTCTATACTCAAGTCGTTTAGCACAATATTTTGGCCTTTCTAGCTTGTTTTTCGTGGAAAAACGATAAATTAGGTCAGCGCATCTTTTTTTAGCGATAGTAGCTCTGCGTATTCGATTGATTTTATTTCCTGGTTAATTTAACACTGTAAAATAATATCTTGAAAATACCACATAATTAGATGGTTCTTTTTTTGAGCCTAAGGCTTCCGCTCGCCGCCTTTACCCTAGGGTAAATCTCCCCGTGCCGTCACATTCGCGCTATAATCACCGGTTACCGGCGCCCCTTTGCCTGTCTATGGTACACCCTTCACGACCATCCATTATGCGCGTTTTTCAGTACAGGATCTGTGTTTTGGTACCCTGCCATATGGCATCTCACCTCGATTCCTCTTCGTCTCGGACCACCCGCGGTGCCCCGAAAAATGTGTAGCCCAAATTTCTTTCCCACCCCTGGTTTCGCGTTCTCTTAGAGGATAGCAGCGAGATTAGATTCCCCCGTCTCGGTTTTGCTATCTTATTTTAGCAAGTAAAGTGTAAAGCTGGAAAACCTATCTAAAAAGTTTTAAACAATGTTGAAAAAGCCGAAATTTTGGTAAAAAATCTATAGTTTTGATGTTTTTTAATCAAAATTTGTAAGGTTTTCAAGCTTAGGAATAAAAAAAAACTATTTAGAAACACAGCCACTATTTAGATTTGAAAACTGGGATCCTACAAAAAAGTTGGTCCCCAAATTACGGTGGTTTTCCTAAATATTGCCCCCTTCACCTCCGTTCCTTACCTGAGAATGTTGAAAAATTTTTCGTGAAAGAAGAGAACTTCGGCCCACTGCGTCCAGCGGGGAAACCCGGGGAGCTGCACGTAAACAAAGTCCATTTGGCCCCCCGGCCTGCGAGTCTGCCTCAGAGAGATAAGGAACAGTCGATTTGACGCCCCCAAAACAATAATCGTTACGACCAATCGTCCAACCCAAAAATAACCCCCCAACTTTTTGCCCGTCCTCTCTTTTTTTACAGCTTGAATCCTATCGATTACCAATACCCTACCGCTTTATATCTTCCAAACATTCCCGCCAATCCACGTGTCACTTCCAGGTTGGCGCTATAGTCCCCAAAACGTATAGTAGTTACATTTTACATTTTTCTACCGGATGCCGATAAGCCGGTCACGTAGTCTTTTCGGAATCCGCCCAAGATCCCCTTGCCCTCTTGGCCTATTACGTGCGTCACGTGGAGACGGCGGCGGCTCCGGGCCAGAAAACGTGCAAGCGAGGCTGACATTGGAGGCTACACACCACTTCCAAAAAAGCCCTTTTTAATGCTATTGAGCATGAGGGTCTTTCGGCACCATCCATTTCAATCATCCTAGTATATACAACGGTAAAAATTGCAGAAGGCAGGATTTTTTGTCAAAAGGGCTTCGGGGGTCTGGCGTAGTGATTAAGGCCGCAAATTCGAGCGCTGGGGCTCCCACGTGGATGTCTAAATTACGCCAAAACGTCATAATTCGGTTCTTTCGCATTATCGGGGGGGCGACTTTTTTTTTAGAATCCCATTTTTGAATATAAATAGTGAAAGTGTTTAAACGGTTGTTGCTATTCCTAAATTTGAAAACTACGGAAATTAATAACAAAAATATCGGTTTTCGACCAACAATGGGCGATTTTTTACCAAAATGTTGACTTTTCCCAAAAAAAATGTAAAGTTCTTAGATAGTTTTTCTAGTTGAAATCTAGTTATATTTTACTAAAAACATTTTTAAAGCTTCCTATTAGGTACTAGAGTTCTAGACTTATAGAAAAAAGTTCGGTTCCGCCCCCCCCCGCTAATGCCAAAGAACCTATAATTCTGCTCAAGATCTATATACCTAATTCCCAAATGTATTCTTATATCAGGCCGCTACCTCGTGCAGTCTCCAACAATTTCCCAATTTCGCAGAGTGCTAGCCGCCAAAAATGGCAGCTTACTTTTCGGTGGAACAGTGGCGTACAACACGAGAGGCCCTTTGCAGGCGGCTGCAAAGGAAAAAGTCAACTCGTGACCAAGGGGGGAAGGGGAAAGGGGGGCAACCACCCAAATAGGGCCAAATTAGCCCGCGAGTCCCAGTACGGCCTTCTTTGCCCCTCATTTCTCGGCGGCAACGAATCGAGAGCCTTGTTTTTTTCCCAGCGCGTAGCCAAAAATTCACTCTATTTTCGCGGGTCCCATATAGCACCTGGGTTCTTTCGCATCATCGGGGGGTGGGGGAGGGGGTGTACCGAACTTTTTGTATGTGTCTAGATAACTTCATAGAAATTGTTTTCATAGTGTTTTTACTAATATATAACTATATTTCAACTAGAAAACCTAACTAAAAGCTTTCAAAATGCCGAAAATTTGGTCAAAAATCGGCCGTTTTCGGTTGAAAACCCGATCTTTTTGAATACACTTTTGTGAAGTTTTCACGTTTAGGAATAGCAAAAAAAACATTTATAAACACTTCCACTAGCTATCTTTCAAAAATCAGATTCCAAGGAAAGAGTTGGTTCCCACCGCCGCCCCCGATAATGCGAAAGAACCATAACCACTTTCTCAAAATCCAGTTCTCTGTTTTCCGCAGGGTTTTAGGACTAAACCACCACACTTCCGTTGTAACATTCACTTTATTATTGGCTCGGCGTATTTCTCGGATTAATGTTTTCTCCGAATTTCGCCGTCGCCTAATCTTCAGACAAATCTATTCACCCAACCCGAGCCCCAGAATTGCCTACAAATGTTTTTGTTTCCTGCGGCTTCGTGATCATGGGCCCTGATTGTACAGGCCAGTATCAACATCCCTTTTTTTCAGCTCGCTGACTGGGTTCGACACAAGGCCGAGTGTGCCATTTTTACCGAAAAGCGGAAAAACGGCCGATATTCGCCCGATTTTCTTGGCAGGTATGCGTTTTTTGTATTGCCAAACATTCATATGAATTTAGCTGCTCTAGCGGCCACTTCTCGGTGGTGAGCGGGCTTGACCGGTTCGACCTACGCAGCGCTGCGGTACGTGTTCTTTTGCGAATTGCATTTTCTTTTTTTTTGCAGAGCTCCGAGATGGACCGCACCTCCAACCATGGCCACAGTCACCCAGACTTCAATGCGCGTAAGGATTTTTCAAATTTTTATTGGTTCTTTTGCATTATCGGGGGGACCGAATTTTTCGTTATAAGTCGGGAATGTTCAGTAATTAAATAGGAATTTTTGACAGTGTTTTTAGTAATATCTAGGTTATCTCAGCTAGAAAAACTAACGAAAATCTTTAAAAATGTGTAAAAAGTCGAATTTCCGTAAAAAAACGGTCATTTTTTGTATTTTTTTGAGATTTCTGTAATAAAAATTTATAAAGTTTTCACGTTTAGGGATAATAAAAACGATTTAAGCACACTTCCGCTTTTTGTATTTCACAAATTAGATAAAAAAAGTTGGTCCCGCCGATAATGCGATAGAACTTTTTATTATTTATAATATTTTAGCGCCGCAAGTCTCGATCCGGCAAATGGCCGAGCAACAATCCGCCATGCAGCAATGCATTGATTCCAGCGTGGTAAGTACGACCATCTTTCGCACTCTCGGAAATTTTTCACCTGCCAGCCTCGGGGCCGAATTATTTTGTTACTGTGGTTTTGGGGCGGGGCTAGGGGTCCGGATACAAGAAAGCGCTGCCAACAGCTAGTATAGGTTAAACCCGTGGGAGCTTATCAAATTGTTTCTGCCAAAGGCGGAACTATTATTCCAAAGCCGCCTCCATTCTCTCTGCTCCCTCCACTCGGCCCTGCATTCCGCTCGCTTCTTCCCAATTTCCACGTCTCCGGGCCGATCGCCTTGCGGAAAGGCACGTAGGTGGTGGAAATCCGCCATTTCGTGCGTTAGTCCTGAAAATAGAACACATACTCCGCTCCCTAGACACTGTAAAATTTGTGAAATTGTTTGGGTTCTTTCGCATTATCGGGGGGGTTAGCTTTTTTGTCTAGAGAAATGTTAGTAAGTCGGTAAGTTAGCGTTAAGTGTTTTAATAGAGTTTTTAGTAATATATAACTATATTTCTACTAGAAAAACTATTTAAACCTTTAAAAATGTTAAAAAAATCGAAATTTTGATCAAAACCCGGCTTTTTGGTCGAAACATCGATATTTTTGATATTTTTCAACGCAAGTTTGTCAAGTTTTCACGTTTAGGAATCGTAAAAACCATTTTAAAACACTTCCACTGTTTATATTCCGTATGTCGCCCCCGATAATGCAAAAAACCATTGATTAGTTTTACATTTTCACTACATTCTACCACGGCGCACTTACCCCGATTAAACATTCCATTTCAGTTCAACCAACTACTCAGCGGAATGGCTACAGCCTCTTCACAGCAATTACCAGCCGGCATTCCAGCCCCGCAACCCCTGAAGCTGGACGCGCTGAATGGCGGATTATTGCCATTGCTGCACGGCATCCAGCAACCATCCCCTCAACAGCCCATCAATGGCCAAGGTCTCAACTCGGCACAACTCATCGCAGCTCTGCAACATATTCAGGTACCAGAAATATACCGTTATACCGGACATAGACTTTAAAAGTATTGTATGTAAGTTAAAAAGCAAAATTTAAAAACGTAATATTTTTCAGAAGGCCCAACAACCAGCAATCCCGCAGCAACATCCGGCTCCTCCATTGATCGGATCAACGATTCCAGTCGCGCTGCAGCAGGCGCTCCAACTTCAACAAATACAACAACAGCAACTGCAGCAAAACCAGCTTCTGGCGGAAATTGAGCGACAGGTTCGTTAATATAGTCTTTTTAGTTCAGTGGTTTTGAAAAGTTCAGTATTCCAGGCATTGAACGCCCTTTTTTAACCATTTTAATAAACCAAGTTTCAGAAATTGCTTCAACAAACACAGCGGGTAGATGAGCAGCGCCGCATCCAGGTGGGACCTTATCCTAATCTTTTCATTTTTGGCTGACAAAAATATTGTCGACTTTCACACGTACGGTGAATAAATCCGGAATCAATCAATCAATACCGGAAATGTTTTAGGCTGACAACGACCTGGCGTTGCAACAACTCTATGCTCGACAGCGGAAAGCTAGTGTAGGTTTTTTAAATAATTTTCAATTAGCGGGCTTGTCGCTAGGTGACATCATGACAATCCCTTTTTTAGACATCAAGCGATGGATCGAGGATTTCGATCCCCCACCACAATTCCCTCATCTCTTCACCACCAATAAGTACGTTTTAAATTTAAATTAATTTTAAACCAAAACTGAAAAGCCGCTTCGCGGTATTGGTAACGGATTGGACGGTAGGGGGTATTGGGTGCTATTTCGCTCTTATGATGCAGAACTGTAGACCCTTTTTGTGTTTTGGATGAGGGCTAAGTGATAGAGATTGAAGGGATGGAGAGAAAGGTCCAAGGAGAGGGCGGGGTGTCGGGCAAGGGGGGTACGTGCACGGTTCTAGATTCCATGACCCCACATTCGACAGGCTATTCGCCAAAACATACGCGGGGCCAATCGAATCGCGAGCGTGAGATGACGAGGAACTTTTAGCAAAAGCCAGAATTCAAAATCCAACCCCGGGAAGATTATCTTGATTGATCAGGAATGTTGCGCTCTCAATTTCAGAGATCAGCCGGGGCGCGCAGGAGCATTGTCAAGGGGGTGGTGGCTGTTGGGTGTTCTATTTCGCTGTCTCTCCTCCTCTCCATCTCGCTCTTTCTCTCTTTTTCTCTAACTCGCGCTCGGAGCCCCCCTCTGTTGCTGCAAAGGAATCTATTGGGGGCGCGACTGCACGTAGACCCCCAGTCAGCCAGCCCTCGCCCCCCCCCCTGCCCAACCCGACCAGCCGCACACATACTCTCTGATAAGCTTCTCACGCATCCATCCCCTCTGCTTCCCCCGATAATTTCATTTCTTACTATATCTCCAATTCAGTCAATTTAGCTCTTAAATAGCTAGCCATTATACATTAAGATCCTTAAATACCGTTCAATACTCGCCTGTAGTTACCTGGAAACTTTTCCGGAGGGTAAACATACAGCACAGGTCAACCTTTCGCCAGCATTTTCCATACGTGACAATCCGTGCATACCCCTTGCCCATCCCATCCCTCCTCGGCGGTCCCACATGTTTTCTTCAAAATTTAGTGCCCCCATAACAGCGGTTATGCCCCCTAGCGTTGCAGGGGTTTCGGCGAGCAATGCCTTTCGTTTAGCTACATAAAAACTTGAGCGTAACCGCTAAGAATTTCGGGGTCCTTTCGCATTAGAGTGGGGAGCCTTAGGATATAATTTTTAAATATAGATATTGATTGTTGTGATATGATATTGATTATTGATTGCTTCTAATTGGTTTTTAATATGCCTAAACGTGAAAGCTTTACAAAATTCTTTTAAAAAGGTCAAAAATATCGATTTCACGACCGAAATGGCCGATTTTTGACCAAAATGTCGATTTTTTAAAGTTTTTCTGATGGATAAATTTATTTTTTGCTAAAAACACTATTAAACACTTGCTAGAAAGTTACTAGACATTTCTGGGCTTATAAAAAAGTTCGCCCCGCCCCCGAAATGCGTAAGAACCAATTTAGGTTTGATTGAATCGATTATTGCCTTTTTATAGGTACCGAAATTTGTCGAATCTGATTATGAATTGAAAAATTGTCCAGATTTATTGAAATTATCAACTTGAAATTGTTCCTAGTTTTAAATTATATATTTTTTTTTTAGATTCTCCCCTTCGTGCACCTCCACTTCAACCATCTGGCCAGCAGTTTGACGCGCTTCGTCTGGCCCACACCCTGTTACAGCAGCAACAACAATTTTCCGCTCAGCCGTCTTCCTCGAACACTCTCAGTAAGCTATTTTTTTAATTTATTGGCTCAGCTTCCCTTATTCAACCAAGTCATTCTCACTTTTCAGCCAACCAAGGCTTCCTCCCACCTGGAGCACCGGCCGCAAGTACTTCGGCTTCACAGCCGAGCCGTCGTTTGCCGGACGCCGACGACGACGAAGTTGTGGTTGTCGACGGGCCGTCGTCAAATCCGCCCACCCAATCCGGTTCCAATTCTTCACGCAACAACCGTAAGCGGCCGCAAGCAGAGCCCGACCGGCCGAAGATTGATCATTCCCGGAATATCCTCTACAAGGTAATAATACTTCAAAAACTTAACAAACATTTCTAGACGACAATGCAAGAGCATCAAAAGCACTTGGTGAACAAGGGGCTTGTGCTGAATACGCATCAATCTATGGTGATGCGTCTTCGTTATATTGCTGAGCACGTCATCCGGGCTCTCAATGAGTTTGGCTGGGCCGTCGTTGACAACTTTCTCGGGTCGGAGCAGTGTAAATTCAGCTACAAGTAAGTTCCCGATCTGAAAGTGAGTCTAAAAGTTCCCAAGTACATATCAGTCGCCTAAATACCGATTTTCAGGGAGATTGAACGCTTATACGAAAGAGGCCTTTTCACAGCTGGTCAAGTGGCTGATGGGAAGAGCCGTGATGGTGATCACATTAGAGACATCCGATCAGATTATGTAAGTCTCGAATAATCTTCAGACTACTCACGCTGTTATTTCAGATATATTGGTTCGACGGCTCCGATAAGCGGGCAGAAGATGCAGCGACGGTACGTCTCCTCGTGTCGATGATCGACAGTGTCATTCTACATTTTAACAAACGAATTCCTCCATATTCTATCGCTGGCCGTAGTCGAGTAAGTTTCGCATGTACTTTACCAACCTCGGCATTAGGCAATGATCGCCATCTACCCGGGCAACGGTACCCGCTATGTAAAACATGTCGACAATCCGGCTAAGGATGGACGATGCATCACTACCATTTATTATTGCAACGAGGGATGGGATGTGCAAAAGGTTTGCATTAAAGTGAAAGTAAAAGGATAATATTTATAAATTTCAGGATGGCGGAGCGCTGCGACTATATCCGGAGACGTCAGAAGTCCCGATGGATGTCGACCCGAAGGCTGATCGGCTTGTTTTCTTCTGGTCTGATCGACGAAATCCACACGAAGTCATGCCTGTTTACAGGCACCGGTAAGTCAGATCAATTAGACCAAAAGAATTTAAAGAATCAGAATTTAAAAGCGCTATTTCAGCTTCGCGATCACCATCTGGTACATGGACAAAGAGGAGCGCCAAGAAGCTCTCGAAAGAATGCAGCACCCAATCGGAGACAACGAACGCACGCGGGCGGAAACCAGCGAAGGAGCAGAAGTCGAAAAGAAGCGACCCTCACCGCCCGATCACTATAATGATCCGGTACCTGCTGATTGTCGCACTGCCCAGGGAGCAGCCATCCAGCCATCACCCCTCAGGCCATCCAGAATTGATGGTAGGTTCTGTGACAATCATACTTGTACAAATACAAATATCGTTCCGAATCTAATTAAAAAACTTTCCAGATGTAGCAGCCGACAGCGGAATGGAAGATAACGCTTCGGTAGTTTCTGGTTCCGCCATTCCAACACGACTGATGGCAAGGCCGAATCGTGTCAATTCACTCGCCGGAAGCGGTAAGCTTTCACCCCCAAACGCTTTCATCATTTTCTACAGTGGCTCACGACCGTATCGTCGAAGAGCGCTCATCTGTAACGTCCGAAGAGGGTAACGATGTCCCGATGAATCACGACATAAACCCTGAATACGTCATCTAATTTCATTCCCCCCGATGCTATTGTGCACACCCACGGTCTAGTCATACTTCTTTTCGCGGAAGCCACCTCCCCCCATATGTTATTAACACAATCGATTCGGATAATATCGACTATTTGTGCTTTTTCGGGTCATATGTCTTCTCTCGCCGTTGCTTCTCGCATATTTATTCCACGTGGTTAATAGAATTTAAGGAAACCTAGTGGTGAACGATGATTTCGTGGAATTTGTGTCGATTTATGTACATAAAGCTTCAAATAAAAGTGAAAAGTTACCGTACTAAAACCCCGCACGAAAAATGAATGAAAAAGAAAACAGCAAAACACCGCTACACTAGGTGGTTATCCGCTCAAAAATTTTGGAGGCTTACAACTCGCGAGAAACTATTGGAAATCGGCTCGTCAAGGAGAATAGAAGAAAGATCCATGATTAGACTGAAAGAGCATCGATGGCCTAGATATAAAAAAGGGTTGTTATTTTCCGCGGTTAGGGTTGGGTTGAGCAAATCCGACTTTTCGCTAAATTTTACTCTATATACTAGAAAAGGAAAAATTTTTGAAAAATTTGCGTTTTTTACTTTTACTTTACTCTTACAAGAAAGGAAATTTTTTGTGTAAAAATTGTTATTCTTTTCATAGTCCTATTTAGTTTACGTCGAATTTCTAGGCCGCTTTTTTGGTGCGACGTTGCTGTTGTTATTACTTGTTTTTCCTAGTCAATCCTTTTTTCAATGCTTTTCTTTTGCCTTCCATAACCTGTCTTTAGAGATTGCCACAATGCCGCTTCTTACGCAAGAAAATTGACATGCTCCCAGTCGTAGCATTGCAGGAGAATGAGCCGACGAAACATTCAGGCAATTGAGTTTTGTCAAATGTCGTGCATTGTCCGTAAATAGCTTGCAAAAAACTACCTGTACGCCCCCTGGGGTTCGATTTTCATCATCGACGTCGATTCGACTTCTTGGCTCCTCATGAGAGAACTGCCACACACGAAGGTTTTCGCGGAATCGATGATGGCGAAATATTTTGACATGTATTGCTGTCAAGGCGTGTTTCACGGACAAACAATGTTTTATTCGTATCACAACAGTTAATTAAATCAATTCAGCTTTTTCTTCTTGAAAGCGTTTTGCTCGGCGCTGTACAAGTTCGGGGCCGAAGTCGTGATGGCTCCCTCTTCCGGTTCAACATCACGTCGCTCACCGGGTGCCGGATGCCAAAAACGGCACTTGTCGCCGCGACGGCAATCTCCACGTTTGAAAGCCCTAAAAATTGGAATTGAATAGGATTGGACGTTCTGGTTCGTTAGCGCGGGGGGGGGGGCTAATGTCATAGATCTTCCAATCTTTACACTGTTTTTTGAGGTATCATCCCGACATCAAAAAATATAGTAAAATTTTTAATTTTAGCGAAAAACACTATAATTTAAAAAAGTAATGGCCAAAGCAAAAATAACCCTTAAATGGAGTTGGTTAGATATTTCTAGGAACTTTCGATATTCTGTTGACGCCATTGAATTAGACATGAAAAAAATAAATGAAAAGTTTTATATACAGCTCAAAATAATCTAATTTAGGATAAGAGAAGCTATTGGCAAAAATGTCCCCCCCCCCCCCCGCTAACGAGCCAGAACCGGATTGGAATTTGGCGCCTTCTGCAATTTCCCCAGATTCACGCTGACAAAACGCATATATCGAAGCCAGCAGTGAAAATAAGAAGAACATTTACCGGCACGGTCCCATTTTCTTTCGGTTGTCGTCTTGCACCTTGATGTCGGTCAACTTCACATGCTGGGAGAGGATTCGCTTGTTGAGAAATTCTTCCTTGGTCGCCTCATTCATGAACACACTGCATTCCTAAAGTGTTGAAAGAGGGATTGCTACTGAACACACAAAACATCCAAACACCCAGCACGATATTCGCACACTACAAGAAAAGTCCACCCACCAGGTCCGTATTCTTCCTAGGATCAAAACTCGGCACCGACGGTGTAGAAGTTCCGGGCACCTGGCCAGCAACTTTCGTATCTTTCTAAAACAATGTTGTGTTGGTGCCAGGAAAATCCCTACATTCTTCTTCGCCTGTTCTGACTTGTTAGGCCCGTCTTCCTCTTCCGGATCGTCATCTGATTCGTCGCTAGCGCCTCCGAAGAACGCCTGTAATGGAAAATATTTAAAAGGTAGTGAACTGCTAACCGCGCTAAGGTTTGTCGAGGGCTTAAAATCAACATCAGCTTCGTCTTTCAAATTCTGCATATCATCCGGGCTTGGGCTCTAGAAAGGAGTTAGCAAAACAAGAAATTCTAAACCTTTTCGTGGAAAAAGGTGAAATCCTCGTCTTTGTCGTCGGCTTCACTATCCCCGCTGCTGTAGTCGCCAAGCAGATTCAATGCCATTTTGGCAATTTGCGGCTACTAAAGAAATCGGTTAGTGCGAAGACACAGAAAGAGCGCAAGAATCGAACACGGAAACAAGCAGTATCAAATCAACAATCAATCATCGGAAAAGAATCAAATTCATTAGTTTTAGTAAGAAGAGAAGTGTAAACTTTTGTTTGAAAAGAAATTCAAAATGGCAATTTCACTAGGATAAAACATCGCATAGCGTCCACATTAGGCGGTCGGCCATAGCAGTCGAGCGTATCCTTGGCCCGTATTCGAACTTTCGTTATTGTTTAAATCATACTAATTATTAAAGTGGTTCGTGCGAACATTTGGAGAATTTATTTCTAGAGTTGCCTGCGTAGCTTAATATAGATTTTGGCTTTGAGCGATTGGTTGCTGTTCTTTTTGTCATATTGCGCCTGGAATATTACTATTTTCCTAATTGTAAAGTTTTAGATAGATGTCTAATGCTAACCGTGAGCCAATGCCCTTCGTCCGGCGGTTCGGCAAGGCCGCAGGTGTAGGCGAAATCGAGACCCCGATGATGTCAATGAGATCCGAAATGAAGGAGCGCAGCGAGAAGAGCAACACCGTCGATACGGGCCACGTCGGTGAGCATTTGATAGGTTGCTCATTTATTTAATTTGTAGATTCGTTGGGAGATGCTATCATGCGCGCTCCAGTCAACGGTGCTTGTCGAAAATGTGGATTTGCCGGCCATCTTCCGTTTCAATGCATGAATAATATACAAGTGAAGCCCGACCGTCAGGTATATCTTTCCTATTATAAGCTTTATACTTCTATCCAGGCGGTGGTAGAAATCAGCTCGACGTCAAGTGACAGCGAAGCGGAAAGAGTCGCCAAGGAGCGGAAAGGTGTGTTGAATTTTGAGGCAGTCATCAATTCATTTGCAGCTAAGAAGAAGGAAAAGAAGATGCTGAAGAAAGAGAAGAAAGCCCGGAAGAAGATGCTAAAAAGAAAGGCCCGAGAGGAAAAGAAAGAGAAAAAGCGCAAGCGAAGACGCAGCAGCTCATCGGACAGCGATAGCGATGCAAAAAGTACGATTTTTGCTAAGACTGTAACTCCATTTAGGTTCCGACGAAAAGCGAAAGGCTAAAAGGAAGCGCAGAAGTCATCGCTCATCTTCCAGCTCATCCTCGGGAGGTAAACTTTGAGCCTTGTGCATAAATAGACTCTTTTAGAAAGCCATCGAAAATCGAAGGAGTCGGGCAGAACAAAGACTCGTCGAAGGACCAATAGTTCAAGCAGCTAATCCAATTCTTAGGTACTAATTTTGCGAAATTACCTTCTTATTGGCATACTTATGGTCTCATTTATATTGTGATCGGGGTTCTCTTTGTTGGATTTTTTGAGTCGCACTTGACTAACAATTTCGCTGAATTCTGCTGTTATTCCCTATAAACTTCCTTACGGGCCATTTTGGCAATGTTTACGGGCTTTTTGTATACAGAAGCATGTTTATTATCGCGATAAAATGTACATGGTAGGAGACAAGATCAGACAGAATTATATCCGCGGGATTGCTCGCTTTTCGCAAGTAGCCTGGGGCTGTCTGTTGCCTCGTGGAACTTCAAGCACCAGCAGAAAAAGGCACGAAAGAAGAAGAAGACGATGACGTTGATTATCAAAGCAAACATAATCGCCCACTCGAACGAAGGGTAGATGATATCTGAAAAGTTGGTCATTTTGTCTAGGTTGTTGTATTAAAACTGCCGACCCTATGGGATATTCAGGAAAACCTACTCGTTACTTATTCGGGAAAATACTTACTCGTTGAAGGAATCTCTGTTTTGTATATTTCGTTCAGGTGGATAATCGAAAATAGCACCATCCAGAACGTCAAAACAGCGCTCATAATTGTAGCATTTTTCTAAAATTTGAATGTTTTCCAGCACGGTCGGCCTACCCTTTGGTGGTTGCTGCGCGCGTTGTCGGAAAGGCATTCACTGGAAATTGAGCAATTATCTCTATAAATCGCTGGCTTACCATGGACTGTCAAAGCCAAGATCCTTCGAGCACTTCTGATGTGCTTTCCGATAAGAGAGTTCATTCCGGATTCGGCAGAGCACTTGACGTGCTCGGCGAATGGCCGCATTGTCGCCGTAAAGCTGTAAGAGAATTAGGGTTTGTTTAGTAGGCTTTAACTATCCTAAATCAAAATCTTTCGTCAGATCCAACCTCAATGCAGATGATACCGTTGATCAATTCATCACTTTCATCCTCGGTTTTGGCCAAAGCAACAACATTTCTGATAGCTCCTTGTAGAGATCGGAGCTCGTTAAGCCTATTATTTGTTTCTCTACTATTGTAAAATCTTACCGTAAGTCGCTTAGACGATGTGGGTAGATGAATTCAGCGATTTCATGACGATATTGGATGGGATGCATAGCGGGTAATTTTGTTTGTGCAATGAAATAGTTATGATGTTGTCCTCTCGTTATCTCGTTCGAGACATCTGCCTATGTCCGATCGTCCGATATCAATAATCCGGCTATATTTGTGCCTGGAGGTGTCTGGAAATCATGTAGCATTAGGGTATTACTTTTCGGGGGATGCGGGGGCAGAAACAAACCTAAATTTGGAAAATGGCGTGTCAACCGGGAATTACGAGCTGTTTGTCGGCCTAATGGCTAATCGACCTTTCCACCGTTTTTTCCGTTCCTTATCTCGGGGCCACAGACCGACCGTTTGCCTGTTCAGCAATATATCCAACGCAAATCGAGAACCAGAAATAAACAGTTTCCTGCACGGAATGGATTAATGCGGGAAGAATCGTGGCAGCATACGAGGAACTCTTCATAGACCATTCAAACATCGTTTTAGAGTAAATCAAAGTTTATCAGGCTATATTGGTAGATAAAAAAGTGATACTGGACTGTTAGCGCGGGGGAAGGGGGTTAGCAGGGGAACTATTTTTTTCCATCTATGCCTACTTGTATATAAATCGTGTATTTATACAATGTTTTATTAGCTATTCATTGCTCAAAAATTACAAAATATTTTAAACATTTTGAAAATACAAAAATTTGACCATTTCGGTGATTTTGCATAGGTTTTATAAGCGTTTCATGAGCTTTTTATATCCAAAAGCTCTGTAAAATGTTTATATTTTGTTATAGGACCGCACAGGATTACTGGGAAGAGTCCGTTCCCCCCTGCTAACAGTCCAGTACCAAAGAATCTAGTAATACACTGCTTTCTCTAGTAAATGATTTACCTAAATTACTGTAGAAATAGTGTCGGAGCTGCTAAAATCCAAAATTTTGAATTTGCAGGAAACTAGTAACGGTCACGGCTTTAACCCAGCTATCGGTCAGGGTCAGGGAAAATTTTGAGTTTTTTATTTAATGTAAACTTTTTAATTTTTTTTGCAAACGCTTGAGTGGGCCTTGCCAATTGCCGGGATTACGACCCATCTCGATTATTAGCCCTTTTCCGGGACCACCCACAGAGGCATTTGGGGTGGTCAGCAATTTAGGCCACCCATATATCGGCCCACCTCACGGTCAGCACACCGGAAATGTTGATCATCTACAGGAATATCTACAAAAATAGGGCGCGACAGAAAAAATTGTATATTATCTGTTTTCAGGCAATCAACCATGAAATTTTCACTAGTTTTCCTGATCTGGGATAGTCGAGAAGTCCTAATTTTTTTCAAAGCTATCCACTTTTTCACCAATAACCTTCTTGTTTTTGGCCGAAACGTTTGTTTAGTATGTGTAAATTTATTGACGCTACGAAGGCCGAGCCGAGAGCATGAGGTCTGAGAACGAGAGGCGACGGGGGGCTGGAGATGAGGAGCAGCTGACCCGCACAAACCGCAATTTTCAACCTCGGCGACACGTCAATCATCGTTCAAGTCGTTTTCTCGTATCGCCCTCACCGCATTACTGTTTTGTCGATTTCGTTTTTAAAGGTGTCAGGAAGTGAAAATTAGCATCTGCAGGATCGAAATTTTGATAGACAAGTCAAGGCGGAACAGCCCGAAAGTTGCAACTTCTTAGTAAAAATCTAACCCCCTGCTAAGAGATCAGTATCCCGAAAGCTTCTCATTATAGTGGTATCTTGGGGGGATTGGTGCCATCGTTCGGGCTTGGCGCGGGCTAACTCAATAAATGTGGGGTGTGCGAGGCGGTGAAGCGACCATCTGACGGGCTACTTCCAGCCATGTGCCATGGATATTGCATTCCGGAATGGCTGCATTAATTAATACTTATTCTTATAAAACTAAAAAGAAGGTTTGAAGGAAAAGTCTAGAATAAAAAAAAACGTATCTAATGAGGTCGTTAAAATCTCGGAAAAAAATGAGGAAAATACCGAAAACTAGCATTTTAGCCTATGTTTAGACGTGAATTTCGTTTTTGCGGTTTTTTTGCGTTTATATTACATTATTTTGAATTGAAATAAAAACTTTTAGTATATTTTATGATGTCATAACGAATGGCGCTGAAAAAATCCCCGAAAAATCACGATAAATGCGCGATAGAGATTTGATCTGCCCTGAACTTTACCAGAAGTTCTGCGTTTTTGGTCATTTTGATGGACGTTTGCTACTATTTTTGCGCAATTAGTATGAGGATTTGGTTTTGTTTGTTGTTAGTTTTAACGTATTTTTTACGGCAGTTTTTATACAAGTCTCACCTTACCCGAAAAATATTACGCAGTGTTCTTTATTTTGACGACTGCCCGCATTTTTCCATTAATCCCCGCACTCCCCCAAACGAACCCAACCGACATTCCGATGTCAATTATTGAGTAAATGTCGGGATGGAAGATGACTGGAGAAAGGAGTCCTTAGGGCCCAGCGTTCACCGGAGGGGGCCCTTCTTGCTCCTTTCAAGGCTACTGGAGTTGCCAGCCGAAAGGGGCCACATGGAAAGATTGCGGACCTAGATAGAGGCCCATCCAATGGCCCACTTTGCACCTCATCCATCTTCCCCTCACTCTACATAGTACCAATCTAAGCAGTCCTTATTTTTGGCGGGATGATTTTTGGGTGGCAAATAATTTGATTGTAATATTTTCCTAGGAAAGCGTCTTTTATGAGTTATCCGGAAAAGCTCAGGCGATTTGTACAATCCTAACCGGATTAGGCTTAAGTGAGCCTTGGTTTAGACCCAGCTTAGGCTAAGCTTAGGCTTGACAAGGGGACTGGGCTCAGCTCGGAATCGAATTCGGATTTGAAAATTTGCAACTTATAGAGCTCGGCGAGACAAATCGATTGTGTAACTTTCAGCAGATACCCCGAACTAACAAAGTTATAAGCATTTTTAGTTTTTGCATACATTTTGCAGATTTTCGCCATACCTTCATAACCCCCCTCCCCTCAGCGTGGCTGGTGGTCTACGGCGTGGTACTGGGCTCTGGGGATCTATCAAGGGTCGAACCCGTAGATTTTTATTTCTTTTTCCAAAGTTCCTCTTGGTCCAAAGACCTTTAATGCTTTTTAGGCATTCACCAGGAACCAGAAGCGCTCGCAAAACCCACTCCTAAAAATTTTTAAATTTTGAGAGTTGGTAAGGTAACCATAGTAGATAGTTTGAAGAAAATAATTTTATTATTTATCACTTGGGATAGTTTTACAATCCACCTTCTGATCCCAAAATTTTTTGAGGAGCATGAGCAAAAAATTAAATTTTTGTAAAGCTCTTTATTGTTGGCAACGCTCCTGGCCTGGATGCCTAAAGCCATTAAAGGTCTTTGAAGGCCAAGAGGAACCTTACCAAAAGCAAAATAAATCGTGAGCGGAACCCTTGTAACCCAGACGCCGCGTCACACCACAGGCCACCAGTGGGAAGGGAGGGCTTATGAGGTATGGCGAAATTTTGCGAATGTATGCAAAAAAAAAATGCTTATAACTTTGTTAGTTTGGGGTATCTGCTGCTGAAGTTACACCAATCGATTTTCTCGCCGAGCCTATAAGTGTGCAAATTTTCAATCCGAATTCGATTCGAGGCCACCCCTTTTAGGCAGAGGAGCTTAGGCTTAGCTTAGGCTTAGCCTTAGCTAGGCCAGCTTAGCTTAAGCTTAGCTTGGCTTAGGCTTGGGCTTAGGCTTGGAATTTGGGCTTAGGCTTAGGTTTGGAGCTCGACCCACTTCGGTGTGGGCTTAGGCGTAGGCTGAGGCTTAGGCTTAGGCCTTAGAATTGGGCTTACAATCCGGAGCCTAACCTTAGCCTTGTTAGGGCAGGCTTAGATTTAGGCTTAGGGTCAGGCTCATGCTCATGTTTTGTTATTTCTCATGCTCAAGCGGGGATTCATGTTTCCAAAAATCGCCCTGCCTTTTTATCCCATTAAAAACCTCGTTTCGGAGCCAGATCCGCTGCACGTTTTTTGGTTTTTTCTTAAGTTTGTAAAAGTAACACCGTGTTAAAATCAGTTTTTTTTTTGGGCAAACGCGCCCCTTATTACAAGAATTTGGATGGCGTAGGGAAAGGTGCAAAAATGCCTAATTGACCCTGGCCCGGGCGTCGTTCAGACAAGTCAGCATTGTTCTTTGTCCTCGAATGGCGCGAAAATCACCTTCTAATTACCGGAAGGTCGGTGAGGGCCTTTTAAGGGGGGCGGTATATGAAAAGAAATCGTTTACCTTTGATAGGAGACGTTTTTAGTGTCATCGGTGTTCCAAATTTGGTCGATATTGTAGAAAATTTGGCGCTGATTCTGGATATGTTTGCGAAATTTGTGGAATCGCAATTTTCTGAAAGTTATGAACGATTTAAATCGAGAAATCATTAGAAAGTGGCTCATTTTCGGCATTTTTCGGTCTTTGGTCGTTCCTAACTTTTGAAAAATCGCGAATCCGCAAGTTTGGCAAGCATATTCGAAATTAGCGCAAAATTCTGCACAAGATAGGCTTGATCCCAACTTTAAAACACCCACGCTACTAAGAAACGTCTCCGGGCTCGTTACCCTATACAGTTTCTCAACCCGAAATCCCATGAACTCACTCCAAAAATTCAACACAGCACTTTTCGAACTAGCGATCCGTTTCAGAGTCATTCCCGGTTTTTTTGGATTGTGTGGACGGACCCGCTGCATTGGGTTGCCCCCCTTTTTGTGAGTCTCATTCTAATCGAGATTGACAGTTCTCCATTCCAACCCATCTCTACCCCCCCAGAATCGCCCCGCCGTGTCGAGAAATTTGCATCCGCAAATTGATTCCGCAATTTCGCGCGATGGGTGGACCGGCTTTTTCTTTGGTGTTTTGGAAGATATTTCGGGAATGGGATTGGCTGCATTTTCTGTTGAATTTGGGTTTTGAGGTGGCTTTTTAGGACGGTAGAAAACTAATTTTGGTTAATAACTTTAGTTACGGTATTTTTTAGTGTTTTAAATAGTTTTTGCTCTCTAGAACGTTAGAAAAATATTTTTCAAAATTTTAAAATCGAGAATTTGGACCCTTTTTGCTCATTTCTGATATTTTTTGACCAAAGAGTCACTGGCTCCCCCCTCCCTCCGCTAACAGCCCAGTACCACTACAATTTTTAATGGGTTTTGGTGGCTACAGTAATGAGGGGCATCATTATTTGATGGATGCCCGTGTCCTCGGGGGATGGAAAAAAGGCATTCCCGCACTAATTAGCATACGCTTCGATGGTCATCGCGGTCACTTATTTGAGGACGCAGGGGGCTAGTCTCTTCCAGAGTTATTATTACGGATTGGTTTTGTTATTTGAAATTGTTTTTTAATAAAATAGTCGACTTTAATTTTGAATTACGATTTTCGAAATTCGAAAAAGGAAGGTATGATGCTCTACACTTTTTATTACCCCACCTCCCGGCGCTTTTAAATGTTTCTTAATTGGCTGGG